CCTGACCGGCCTGCACGGCTTCATCTTCTACTTCCTGGCTTCCGTCCTCCTCTCCGTGCTCTTGGTGTTAAAAGCCGGACGGCGATGGAATAAGTACTTTAAATCCCGAAGGCCGCTTTTCACGGGGGGGCTTATAGGAGGGCTCTTCACATATGTCCTGTTCTGGACTTTCCTGTACGGCATGGTTCATGTCTACTAAACCAACTAGGAGCCACAGTAGCTGCAGTGGTTTTTAATGAAGCGGGAGGACTGTTGCCAAAAATTCATCTACACAACTAGGCCAGCTTACCTTTTCAACTGTTGTTCATCGCTTGTATTGTTAATACTGTCAGTAAATTATGTCCACGTATAAATGAATCGGTAGTACTGTTCTAATTAAACTGAATGTGAAACACCACTTGGATGCCTCCCATGAATAGCTGTTTGGTGCTTAAGGAGTAACTTCTGTCCCTAGTTGCAGGCACAGCCGTGGGTTTTGATTAACATAGTCCCCTGTATCCTTTGCGTTTTGGATAAGATGCACCAATTGCAATCCCTTCTAGATTTGCTGCCTGTTCCTACCTGCAAATACTGAGGAAAGCAGCGTGTAACACACACTCTTAAAATATAATCCACTGACAAGAGGAAATACTGCACAGTAGCATGAAATTAAGTGTATGCGAAGGTTTGGTACAGAAATGTAATTGAGTTGCTAGTGCAAACATTACTTCTGCAATTGCTATATGTACACGCTAGCAATAAATGGCATTGTCACGGATACTCTTCACTGGCATATACAAAAGTCGATAAGTTATGTTCTCACAAGCCAAACACTTCACTCCTTTTTAATACCGTTGTGTCCAATGAAACACAGACAAACAAGTAGGTGCCGCGTCTTATTACCTGCCAGCTCAGTCTGTACTGAACACACTAGTAAGCCTGCTGGCATTTTCTGTAACTGAACAGCGCATTGTTGCAGTGCCATATGTCTCTGGCAGGAACAGAAAGGAAAATTCAATCACCCACCATACAGGTAATATCTTTGCTATAGACCTGCTTATGCAAACTTAGAGTTGAATTGACTTGCTTAGCATAAGTTTGTATCACAAAGGTGGTGTGTGCAACCTAAAAGACACACTGTACAGAAAAGTCTTGGAGAACATTGCCCTAAAGTGACAAATTTTATTGCAGTACATTAAATACAAGGAGAGAAAAAAAAAAATCAAACTCAAAATAAAAAGCTCCTGAGAAGGAAGCTGGTTATGTTTTGTCAACAGCAACGGTTGTGGGAATTGTGTTAAACAGAGGGACTTTTTGGCCTAAAGCCCCTGAAGACTTAAATTCAGGAAACTGCTTTGGTCGTCTAACAAGAGGATGTTAGTTTGTCACATTGAAACATTGGTTTCAGTAGAGCATGGTCAGCTTGATGTGCTACAATGAGCTACTTGGTCTCCATGTGTTGTGCCTTGGCCTGATGTCACATGTGGGGTTCACCATGTGTTTCACCATCTAGAAAGTATTCAAACAGAATGAAGCTCTGACAGTCAAAAGCCTGTGCTCTTTTATTGGTGTAGTAGTTCCAAGAGGCCTGAGTAGTGCAGTTATACACAGGGTGACTTGTGTTTGCCTAGAGGAGGGGCTTCTGGCATGAAGAGAGGAGGCTTTGGATAGGATTACAGCACCAGAGGTACACAGCTTATCCTAAATTATTTCAAGTCCGCTGTTTAATTCATAGAATCATATAATCATTTAGATTGGAAAAGACCTTTAAGATCATCCAGTCCAACCATTAACCTAACACTACCAAGTCCACCACTAAACCAATTAAGGGTAGAGTAGCAATTTCATGTTTCCTGGCTTGGTGGCTGGATTATTTATAATGAAAGTAAAAACTAGGAATCACTAAGGTTGGAAAGGACCTCTAAGATCATCAGTCCAACCATCAACCCAACACCACCATGCCTACTAAACCATGTCCCAGAGTGCCACATCTACCCATCTTTTGAACACCTTCAGGGATGGTGACTCCACCATCCACCACTCCACTTCCAATGCTTGACTACCCTTTCCGTGAAGAAATTTTTCCTAATATCCAATCTAAACCTCCCTTGGCACAGCTTGAGCCCATTTCCTCTCGTCCTATCACTAGCTACTTGGGAGAAGAGCCCAACACCCACCTCACTACACCCTCCTTTCAGGTAGCTGTAGAGAGCAAATTTATTTCCTAGCTAAATGTTTGACTCAACAATTACTTGCATCTGAACAGAAGCAGAGGGAGTCAACTAGACTGGGTGGGGTTTGCTATCAGTGATTGGATTTGGAGTTTGCCACTGCTAACAAAAGTGAGTTTTAATTTAGGCTCAGCCTGTACCTTGGAGTAACCACTTTAAAGAAGTTAAAGCAAAGGTGATTGCTGCTTGCTGCTCCCATTTGCACAGAACACTCGATCGCAGCAGCTCTCTGTAACGCCACCTTCGCTACAGCTGGCCTCACAGTACATGAGGACGCTGCAGCAGGAGCCCTTTCAATCTTGATATTCAAAGAGTGCACAGAAACACTTGATCTTTAGCGTGACAGCTCCTGATCAATGGTGATGCGGCAGCATTTACAGAACACTTTGTACCAAGCCACGGCGTGGAAGCTTTAAACGAGGCAGGAACATTTATTCACCTACTGTCTTCAGGAGCTGGTGAGTTGGTTCCTGTCAGCTCAAGCAAATGCAAGCTTTAAATAATGATATTCTATAAGCACTTTTCTCTTCTGAGATTAGTTACATCCCCACATGAGCATAAATTCACAAAACGGGCCGCACTAAGACATTTCTTAAAAACAAAGCAGCACTAGCAGTTCTTGGAAGTTACCAGAGTGTTGAAATAGCAGCCATCTGTCTTCTAAATCTTCCTCCTGTCAGTATATTTGGAAGAACCCGGCAAAGTCTGTTTCACCTGACAGAGCTCCCCTTTTCGGTCTCTGCAGTACAGTTCAGGGTACTCTGAAAAAGGGCAGATGCATGAAGTCCCCCATCTAGCTCTCTCCCCGCCACGGGCAATTGGTAAGTGATGCAGACAGGACAATCCGAGCAAATGAAAGCAGCCACTGAACAAAGGAGGGAGAACCTAAGAGTGTCTCCGTGCAGATACTCCCAGTGCCACGTTGCTTTTCAGTGCGTTAACCCCCTTCCCCCCCCCACTATCAACCACAAAACCAGCTGTCCCTGTCTTGACTCAAAATACTCTTCTGCCTGCTGTTACCCACGCTGTGCTCTGAAATGTCGGTTCTCTGGGCCAACCACAAATGGAGACGGGTAGCGGGTGAGGTAGCTGGGGCCCAGCCACGGCTGAACTGATTCTCCGTTCAGGGCTGCGGCAGGACCGTCTCCCGCTGTTCCCGAGATGAGCAGTGCACCTTGTTGCAGCTGTTGCGAAGGCTTTTTCTGGAGGAGCACCATTTCTAGCCCTAATAGTTACACACGCCCCGCAATAGAGTAATTGTCCCCGCTGTGACGCAGGCCCAGTCAGCACGGGCGTTGCAGGATAACAAGCCCCTTTCCCCCGGGCTCTGAGAGCTGCCAAAATGCTGCGTTTCATTGCGCTTCCTGACAAGAGCAGTCCTGCTGCTTTACAGGTAATCTTGCGTGTAATGCAAGCGAGGGTTAGAAGCAGTGGCCGCAAGCCAGTGGAGCAGGAGACAGGTTGAATCTCGGCCTCAGCCCTCCTCGACATGCCAGTGGTGTTTCACATCACGGCTCTTTTCGCACATGGAAGCAAAGCACAGCCACAGGATAACGCTGGCTATCGAGGTGGGTACAGATATATCTATCAATAGATATAAAAACAGTCGTTTGGTGCCTTCTTTTTCCTTTTATAAATCCATAGTGGCGACACACTGTTGCAAGCTCAGGATACCAGAGAACATCTCGGGAAAGAAGGGCAGTCTTCAAAAGGACGTTTTTTCCTCTGGGCATCCCAATAATAGACAGTAGACCTGATCTGGGGTACATCCACCTCCCAGTCCTGGCGTGATTTCACACCTGCATGGTTTTTCTGGAACGTGAGTCCAGCTGGCAGACCCATTGCTGTGCCTAGAGCCCACCGAGCTGGTCAGGGCTCTGATTCCCATCCAGCGTAGGGCTAGGTAACGATTTCCTGGAAGTGGACCTGAGGAAACAAGCAAAGGTGACGGACGAGGCAAGCAGGCTCTTTCTGTTTCAGGAAGCAATGCAGGCAAGAGCCATGACACAACAGCTTCGTTTGCTCCCCAGCTAACTGCAACAATGAATTACGGAGGGAGGGAGGAACTTGGCTAAATTCATTTGGAGGAATGGCTAAATTCATTTGGAGGAATTTAATTTCCTGGCATTGGCCTTTGTTTGCCATTAACGTTTACTGTGTTCCCGTATCATCTTCTATTTCTATTAGTCATAACAATAAAGTCATGTTTAAACACAAAAGCCAAGCCCACTTACTTTACTTCCTCGTACTTTTTGCCTCGATAAAAGTTACTCTTTTTAATCAGATACAGCAGCACCAGGTCACAAAAGAAAGCTCCCTGCAAACAGAAATAACTTGTGTTTTATCTTTAGAGTAGAAGAGGAAATGTTCTGATCTAATTAGCAATGAGCATTAATTAAAGAAGAAGAACTTGTAGGAGCTGTATTTTCTTTCATACTCCAAGTAATCTTAGGGGTACTTAGACTACAAGGTACATTAACAAATGCCTTTAAGACAGGACACAGGCACACACCTGACCGAGCAGCCAGAGTAGCAAAAACTCTACTGGAGAAGATATAAACCCACCATCCCATTTTATCCTCCTAACAGCTAAATGAGGGATCTGGGTCCCAATATGTTACTTTAAGAAAATACATTCACTTACCGCTCCCATGAGAGCGAGTCCCGACCCAATATTGATAATGGTGGGAATGATGTTAAATTTCCCTGCCTAAAAGAAAAAAGGTGATGAAGTACTCGGTGAAAGGAACAAACTTAAGGGTGCGATATCACACAGGGGAAGCTACCAGGGCCCGTGGGTGTGTTTGGTCAGCAACAAGCAGGCACAACCACAGAAGATCTGCAGTGAGCAATCTTGGAGGCTAAAGGTCTGCACGTGTCGCAGATCCAACTCTTCACGGCTGCATTTCTGAGCTTGTGTCATCCCTGGATTAGGCTTCTTTTTTGCGCAGTACATATGCATGAAAAGCAAGTCTCTGGGGCATATTTACTTCTGTTGGACTTTACATGAGCCTGGTTTTAGGTAGAAGAGATGCAGACTCATTCGCGCTCCAGGTCATCTCCTTTCTTACGTAGGGTTAGCCTGACACGGCTGAATGGCAAGAGCCCTTTCCTGTGACAAGCCAGAGAGGCTGTTCTCATCCCAGAGCTGCCTTCCCACTGAGAAATGCCTCCCGCCTTCTTCCTCTCCAGGCTCAGAAATAGGCTGGCCCGGGAACTCACCTTGCCATTCACCATCACATCAAAGCGGATTCCATACGCTTTAATGAGCGTCCGGTACTCAACCCCATTAGCATCCCGGTAATATTTGGCAAACCTGGAATGCAACAATACTGATTTTAATCCCATAATCTTCCCCCCAAACCCCCAAGAACCCACCTGAATTCACCTATCTCTTCCAACAGATCTATTCCCCTATCAAAACCAGCTTTCGCTTGCCATGAGCATGACTCCCTCCCGCCCTCCACTGAAGCGGCGTGCTTGGCTGGGGCAGTGCCTGGCACAGCCCGAGCTGGTACCTCACTGCCAGCCTCCAACACCTGCACGTCAAACCAGCTTAGCCTGACTGCGGTACCGCGTCATATTCTCCTCTTTACTTACCTGAAGTTGTACCCAGAAGAGATGGACTTTCCTGCAAACTTGTTATCCAGCCGGCTAAAAGAATATTGAGGATTACATTCAGAAGGGGCTTTATCAAGATCACAGTTCCATTCAATCTGAATTCCTATCACACCACCCTTAACGAGAGAGAGAGAGAGAGTGTGAGGTTTTTTTAAGCTTAATTCAATTAATTTGTCTTCAAATTTGTCAGATCCTTGGGCAAGTTTTCCCCAGGGACAAGAAAAGCTGCATTTCAGGTCACAGACACAAGCACACACTCTTCTGGATGGGCTAAGTTCATGTTTATGGTATTAGTCATATTACTCTACACACAACCCTGGCTTTCCCTGTTCTGGTATCCTAGGAAGAGATTTCTCATCCCAGGACATTGATTTCATTAATTTAAGTGGCTGTAACATACTTCAGTGGAGAAGATGCTCTTTTATGCAGGGATGAAGCTCACAAGTGCAGAAGCCAGCACAAAGCCTGCACTCTTCTCACCCTCTGCTTCCCGGGATGCCTCAGACCGGCTCCATCTTCCCTGCCTGTGCTTTGCACACTGGCTCGCAGCCCGTTTGGCGCTGCAGCCCCGGGTCTCCACGCAGAAACGTGTCCGTTTCCTGCAGAGGGAACCTTCTGGGGTGTTCTCTGAGCAGAGGAGCCCCACTGGCCTTCCAGAGTTCTGGGTTTAAACTGATGATGTAGTAATGTTGAAATTAAACAAAGAAACCCTGCTGGCAGAGCAGCAGTTTGGGCAGCCCTGAATAACAGATAACTGACGTGACTATCTCTTCCAGAGAACCTACATCGCCCTGCTTCTCATTCCCTGGGGACAGGATAAATGGGACCAGTGTGATTTTAAGAACCAGCATCTCTCCACTGCACCCCGGACAGGAGGCAGTTCCCTGGGCAGTTGCCAGCGGCCCTCCCCACCGCCACCGCAGGGGACTCCTACCTCCAAGGCCATTTCCTGGAAGCTGTTCCCAGTCCACTGGATGATATTGCCCAGGAGGAAGATGGGGCAGTAGGGATGCTCCGTGCTGTAGCGGCAGCTCTTCAGGTAGGACTTGTTGCTTGCCAGCACATTCGTCCTGCATGTAGGGAAGAGAGAAATCCACCTTGTCTCTCTCTTTGCTTGCCTGCATAGCCTAGGCCACTAAGACTGCAGAGACAAGAGACTTCTCCAGCACCCCTCGTGCACAACAGAAGCGGCACCTTGCCACCAGCCTTGTCACTCTGCGAGCCTCTCCACTGCTGCCTGAGGGAAAGCAGTCTGCCCACACAAAAATGACCTCCAGGCCAGCTGAATCTGGGCTCAAGAAAGGACTCACATGGAGCAGGTTGCCAGAGTGCTCCAGGGCCAGCTGGTTTTCTCAAGTTTAAAAAAAAAAGATGCTAGAAATGTCTAGCTGAGCCTGAGAGAATAGCAAGGACATGCTCCCTTCTACACTTCTTTATTTTGTTCATATTGTAGCAGCAAACACAAACCAATATTTTTAAATTTGCATTTTCCCAGCCTTGTCCAGTCACCTTCATTTTTATGGAAGAGGAGGAATATCTGGGAGCAGAAGCAGCACAGGAACATGACTGTGCCCTGGCTGGTGGCCAGATCCACCTGCCTTAGAAGCTCTCGTGCACCCCACGCTGGAGGAGCTGTCGCAGACCTTATTTGGTGAGGGACAGCTTTATCGCAGTTGCTCTCTGAGAAGATCCAAGCCTTCATTATCTCCTTGTTCCCACGCAGCCTGAAGCCAAAGGCCTCTCCCTGTGCCTTAGAAGAGGGAATATCCACCTCCCCACCCCAGCCCACAGACAGGTGAAGGACAGAGGAGCAAACAGAGGTTATTGGTTCTGTGATGGACAGAGGGATCTCTGAGCACCTGCACTTACTTGGAGAAGTTAAACTTGGGGAAGCGGACTGAGTTCTTGATGTAAACAGTGAAGTTTTCTGCACTGGCGAGAAGCGGTTTCCTGGAAGACAAGGGTTTGTTATCTGTTTTACATTCATACCCTGCCTACATGTTTAAACTGGAATCACCATTTTAGAAACAGCTAGGTTTCATCCCATGGTGCTAGGCCAGCCATGGCACTTTCCCCACGCTGCCAGCAAGGAGTCAGTGAGGAGCATACAGTTTGAGGGGAAGCCCTGAGAGCTGGAAACAGCCCTGGGACAGCCAGTGAGCCAAGCAGGGGGGAGCAGAGGGCCAGTCCTGCCAGGGGGCTGCGCAGAGCTCCCTCCTGCACTGGAACAGCCAACATTCAAGCAAGCGTCCAAGCAGAGGGAACCCAGAAAATGCCCCGAGTGACGCACAAGCCAAGCAACTCAAGCTTGGAAACAGCACAGGATGGCCACGTACGTGGGCTTGGATCTTTTCTCCACTGGGCACCAGGCCAGTATCTCACAAGTCCTTCTGATGCTGTCCGTGCCTTTCAAACAACGGCCAGTCTTAACACCTGCAGCACAGACATCACAGAAAAGGTCACACAGAGCGGCCACCTCCTCTCCTTGCCTACAGGGCACATGAAAATCAGATGCCACACTAAGCCCTCCCCCCTGCTGTGAAATGACCTCTCAGCTGCAACAACCACTCTCTTGTTGCTTCTCTGAGCAGCCTGGGGTGCTTTGGCCCAGCCACCACAGAGCTGTAAGCAAGGCAGCAATCTTAAAGGACAGTAAAGAAAAGAAAGTCCTTGCGGCGCTCTGTCATCAGAGATCTCTGGGGTTGTAACCAGGCTGATGCCTCTGAAGGAACCCGCCTCTACAGTACAGTACAGGAGGAGAGACCCTTCCCTTACCATTGCCAGCCACCACTGTTTCGCCTGCCGGGCAGTCCCCGTCCTTGTCACACAGGCCATCGGGAATGTGGACGCTCTGCAAAGTGGAAGAGGACAGAAGTGAGAGCTGTGACAGGACACGAGACTCAGAGGGGTAACAAAGTGCTGTTGATGTGGGGTGAATCCTCTATAGGATGGTGAACACTGAAAACATGCAGCTGAAGTGGTAACTGCAGGTCACGTCCAAATACCTCGACAGCATCACACCATGAGCAACCCCATGGTTCAGCTACGACGTCCTGCTTTTGGGGTCTGCTCAGTGTGGAGAGGGACATGCTATGAAAAAGCCCAGACATCACCTACCACTCACCAAAACCAACCAGGAGGCCACAGTATTTCACCTTAAGAGATAACCCTACCTTTGATTTAAGCTTCAAGCTCTCTGAGCTCAAAATTACCCTTCTCTCGGCTGCACATCGGGTTAATGCAGCCACTAGAGGACAGCCGTATCCTGAACGAGCAAGCTGTGCTCTCGGCCTGGGCTACCCCTCTGCTTGTGATATGGAAAATTAATCTCTGCTACATGGACAGCCCTGTCCTCCTCCCCCAGGCTCCAGCCCATCCTGAACCACTTCTCCACAGAGGACTTTTCAAAATGACACAGAAAGACCTCATGCCTCTGGCCCGTAAGGCACGTTCTGGAAGGTACTAAGCACCCTCCCATGTCCTGAAGGTAATGAAAGCCTGAATGTTCAGCCCTTCCCAGGATGGGGCTCTTAGAAAGTCTGCTCTACCCATAACTAGACTGAGTCACCTCCAAGTTGTTTTCCCATGGCCTTTTCTGACCCTGAGCAATCACTCCTCTTGTCTCATCTCCATCTGGGCAGACGTCCAACACCTTCAGCTAAAGTCAGCAAGACTCAATACGATCAGTGCCTCTGGAAATTAAGACCGCTGAACCTCCCAGGTTTGCAGTAACCAGTCCAATTTTCCCAACTCAGATACTACACTACAGAGAAAAACCATTCGCCTTTCATCCTTCCTGTGTTCATTGCTCCCCAGGTGTCCTCTGTCAGTTCTTACCCCCAGGTTTGTAAGGGTCTGGGGGCCAAGGGGCTCAGTTCTTCCTACCTCAGGACACATGGCTTGCTTCTGGTTTGGTGTCACAATCAGATTCGTCATGACAAAGAAGACATTTTCACCCTAGAATAAACAAAGTAAGGCAGGAAGAGCTAGAAAATGTGCTTTACTCTTAAAGTACCCGTTACAAGAAGGATGTGGTTCTCTGCAGAACAGTAACACCCTCCTCTCTCCTGATGCTTTTCAGGCTGAGATACAACAGTGCCCTTTGTCTGGATATTTGTTTGGATGAGGTTGGTGGGTCCCAGACCAGGGATCAAAGGACCCATTCCACTGCAGAGCTGTGGGTGTTTGTTCTCAGCCAGGGTCAGGCGGGCCGCCCCAGCTGCGCCGTTACAAGCCCGAGCTCACAGAGCAAGGCAGCAGGGCACGGCGTAGGAGCAGATTTAGTGCAACACCGTGAACATGCGATAAAACAAAACAGAGCACTTCTAGCATGGCTGTAATAGAGAGAATACAGATCCCTTTATCAAGCCATTGGGATGACTGACTGAGACGTGCAAGGAGAGACTTGACTGCAATTTCATCCCTAAAATCCTTATTTCTGGCAGTGTAGTGTTTCCTCTGTATTTAGGCAAAGCCACAATATGCATGGCTAACTCCCATTCTGGAGCCTTCCCTTCTTTGCATATTTACAGCTTGTGTTCGGTCCCTTCCCCACGTTCAGAAAAAAGTTCAAATAGTTAACTTCTCCCCTGAATGGTTTCCCCTTAACAACCAACCATCAAAAGAAACGAAAGGGAAAAAACAAGCCTGAAGACAGTTGTACAGTCAGCAAAACGGGAAAGAAAGCAGCTTACCACAGCACTACGGATGGAGGACGGTTTGCCACTCAGAAGTGAAATGAATGCTAAAATAAACCGCGCGCTTCCACCGTTTCTGCTCCGTACCGTGCGCACTTGGGAAAGGGAGGAGGGTCAGCACCAGGCTGCAGCTACAGAAACACGGGTTGTCCCGACAGCCCCTGGCAGCGGGGAGCCCGACCCTCGTCGCGCCGAGGGAGCACACGTAACCATTAGAGCCAGCCCACGGTCCTGGCGTGGGGCAGGGCAGACCTGAGCATCTCAGACAAAAAAATCCTCACCCACAACAGGAGCCGGCAGTGTGTCGAGCCCTGCTACCTCTAACACTGGCTGCTTGTGTGAGCGAGCACCTGGTGATAAAATACCTGATCAGGAGCAAACTCTGGACCCCCGACCCCACAAGGCTGCTCTGAACCAAAACAGGGAACAAGATGTTTCTGCAAACTTGTCAGAGGACAAGCCCCAGAAAGCAATGAGTGAAGGGTTCACCAGGTGAATCCTTGCTCTACATTAAGCTTAACCCCAGAGTGCCACTGGTTCACCCTGGCCGAGGGCACTCTCAGCCCTCAGAGTGAATTTCAGTACACTGAGTGCCTGCTGTTTATTCCGGAGTCTCTCAGAAAACCCCTGCCAACACACAGCCCTGCCTGCTGCACATCAAAATCAGAGATCTCGGGTTTCCGTCCACGAGAGCAGAGCTCAGTGCTCTTGCACTCGCCTGGCTCGCTCTCCTGCCCTTGCTGTGCTCTGTGTGAGGTGTGTACCCCACGACCCACCAGCGCTTTGGGACACAGGTACGTCTGTCGTCAGCAGCCGCACCGGTGGGCTCAGGAGAGCTGCCCATAGCTCTGTGGAGGACATAGGGTTTCCCCCAGCCCTCACTGCCTCCTGTTCCGCTACCCGGGTCTCTCCAGCACAAACCAGCCCACCCAGACCCACCAGGACCACGCAGGGCTCTCCCTCCAAAGCCAAATGAGAGATTACGCAGTAGTTAGCACAGCAAGTCACTTAATGCACTGGTAGCAGGCATTCAGATCCTCCTAAAAACCCACGTGAGACGCATCTCACGGCTGACCTGAGATATTCAGTGGATGAACAGTAATCAGCACATGGAGCAAGAAAGCTCGTGAGATGCCTACGTTTGCAATCACAGTCCACAGAAGTTGCCGAGTTTCACTGTGAGCCCGGGGTCTAACATCGCTGTGGCTGCTGGAGGCTGATGTACGCTGGGGCACACTGCAGTAGTGCTGGATTCAATATTGCCGACTGATTGCTCAGTTATGTTTGGCTTCATGATGCCACAACCCAGATATCTGCCTTGCGGAGCACGCCAGCCCAGAGGAAAACACAGCTATCTATCTTTACTCAGCACACCATGCTACAATAAGCCAACAAGCAGTAACAAGGGCATTGAGTCACAGGAGAAACGTCTGACAAGTTAAAATACTTATCAGCATCACCATTTCATTTCTAGGTGTGCACACCAGCCACCTGCTAAGTGTCCCAGGGCTTCCACACAGCTTGAACAAGAGGCACCGCCAGCACGCTGCCTGGCCTTCCTGCTCCACAGCACTCGTTGGTCTGAGACCGACAGCTTGCAGTGAGGCTTTGCACTGAAACTGGTGGAGAGGCAGAGCACAGATCCACGGGTCTGAGTAAACACGGGCTGCAGCAGGAGGAAGGTAAAGGTTTATTCTTATGTACAGACAAGTAAATTGTTCAATTTACAGCTTTCTGCCCCCTGTCAGCACAGGACCCTGATTTTCCCCTCACACCTTTCCATGCACACACGGTAGACATTAGCAGGGAAAGCACAAACAGCCACTGGCAAGCACAGCCGGGCAATTTCCAACGTGGTGCCAGGCCACATCTGCTGCCACCTTTTCCCCTTGAGCATCAGCTACGCACCTCACTTCGTTCAAGTCAAGGAAGCAGCAAGGCAGGTTTAGCCAGACACATTTCAAGCAACCCTCATCACTCAAATTGCACCACATTTTCTTTCCATCTCCCGCCCCTCTCTGGGCTGCCCCATGCATGCCTGCTCTAGCCCAGGAAAAGAGGCAAGCAGACACTTTGCTCAGCTGAGCAGTCCCACTGAAGTCCACGGGACTTCTGCTTGCAAAGTTCTGCTTGCCAGGTATCATGGACCTTTGCGAGAGAGACAAGGCTGCTTTGATATTTGCTGGAAAGACCTAAGAGAAGGCACGGCATTGCCTTCTTGCAGCCCACCTCCTGCTTATTCATAGAAAAGACCTGGATACATCACTTCAGCCTTTCCACCAGCAATCACGCTGGTAGATGTCTTTCTAGCTGAACGGCAGAGACGATAGCAGTCGGGTGATGCCAACCTGTGGAGGGATGACGTAGTCTGCAACATCCCACAGCCTCTCCCCCAGCTCCGAGGTGTTGGTGAAGGCTACCCCTTTCAGCTTGGTGATGACAGAGCTCTGGAGGGATGTGTCTGTGTCCTGATAGCCTTTCTTGACAACAAACACCCACCTGTGAAGAACACAGCAGGCAGCGGCATTAGCAAGTGGGGCCAGGGAACAAGTTAGCCAGAGATTGACACCAAGGCCAAACACTGTTCAAGGGCAAACCAAAACATGCCAAAGACACCAAAGCCTCTGCAACTACTACTACAAATTTGGAATAAACTCTTTGACACAAGCTGTGCTTATCTACAACACTGGAGGAAGAGTCAGGACTAAGACCCCACATGCAGGGAAAGGTGTAATAACTGGTCATGGGGTAAAAAAACCCAAGCCTCCCACCTCCCTGTTCTCTGCTATGCTCAGCAACCTCAATGGAAAGAGGGGAGGGCAGGGCTCTAACTTCCTCAAGATGAAAAGTAATACAAGCTTTTGCAAGTTGCAGTGAAGAGTGTGGCTGGTTTCACAAATACATGACTCCCATTTTAGCAGCCTGCCATTAGGCCACCAGTCCAGCAACAGACCATGGCTGGAGAGATGCAAGTCCGGCAGGTGAGCTGAATATTACTAACAGAAACCTGTAGGGAATATTCTCAGCTGGATGCAGGATCTTTTGTAAGCCAGCGCGATGGTAACAACCTGACTGCACCCTGGCCTCTGTGCTGGGCTTCTCGCTAGCACGCCTGGAAGAGCTGCTGTCTTGCCAAGCAGCCCAGGGAAGGGTTTTGCTTGCTTCTCCCCACTGGAAGCAGCAGGAGCTCCGTATCACTGGGTGAAAACCTCTCTGGCTTAAATGAAATGCTTCCAGCTTCCCCACAATACTGCCAAAGTCAGCTGCCAAGATAACATATCGCCCAGACCCATGAAGAAGCTAAGGGTGCTGGGGCAGGTTTTGGGGGAGGGACACGGGCTGCATTTGCTGGCACAGCTCCCCTTTGCAGTGCACTGACCTGGAGCGCACTGCTGCACACAGAAAGCAAAAGCAGCCATCTCTGGGGCTGAGCGGCACTGACATACGCTGCCCTTCAGCTACTACTTGTGATAAACCTGAATAATAACATTCCCCACCCCTGTGAAGTTTCCTACTTTCCTCTTTCTCCTAGAACACCAGTTTTCTCTCCCAGGAGGGCTCGAAAGCAGACCCTTACATTTTCCACAGTGAATCGGGGAGGAAATAGCAGCTACATGCCAGAAACGATCCAGAGGGGTTTGATGACCAGAACCCCCGAGGCAGCCTCTGGACAGGTATGGGTACATGATCAAGCAGTCAGACACCAGACCAACGCTAAGCTCCTCTGCGCTAAGCTGTAAGCCCCCAGCCGCAAAAGAGTCACTGCAGGCACTGCCAGCGACGGTGCCAAAGGTTTGCAGAAGGCAATAGGTGCCTAAGGAAGAAAATAGCCAGTATGGCCCAGTCTCTGAACACTTGTGGTCACTGGTCATGCTATATCCCTCTTGGACGGAGGATGCGTCCTCGGCAACGTTATCTACAGGATTCCTCCTTTAGCAGCTAATACATGCCAGACTGCTGAGACTTAGTTAGCCCTGCTAACTAAAGCAGGCACAGGAGCTGTGTACCTTTCTATAAATAAACCAGCATGCAAAAATGACTCTGCCATATTTAATCAGTGAAAACACAAGGCGTGAGAAAGGTGAAGGGACTCAAAGCACAGACACTGAGGGTAAAGACTTACGAATCACACTCTGCAAAGCCTCAGAAACTCAGGAAGCAACGGCACAGGCATCACATAGGCTGGATAATTCCAGGTCTGAGCCTGCAAACTGCAAGGGGCATTGCTGTGTTCGTTACGTGTCAGTATGACCAGCCTCTTGCAGAACTGGGCCTTTTCTGAGAGGTGCTCTAGCTGTCTGCATGCCCACTCACCCTGCTCTGAAATAAATGCAAGGCAGCTGACATTCACACTGCCTCAACCTCCGCAATCCTGGCCGCTGCAGCCCACTCCAGCAAAGAAATCCACCACTTTGTGCTTGGTTCCCTCCCATTTAGACTTGGGCATGTCATGCAGCCATGCAGACAAGCCGGGTTTGTCCCAAGGCTCAGCAACCGCGGCCATAAATGCTATTGTTTCTGAGTCAGGTGTTAAGGTTTGGCACCATTCCCGCCGAATACAGAAATAAAGGCATAAATAACGCAGTACAAAGCCACAGTGCCATTTGATCTATTTTTAACCCAATGTTAATGTGGAAGGTAGAGCTGAATCTACCAATCCGTAGCAGGAGAAAAATCAGATATAATCTATAAGACATTACAAAATCCAGCTGTATAAACAAGCGTAACTATCTGCATTAAAATCATAAGGCATAGCAAGCTGTCACTGTATGCAGAGTATCCTACATTAATCTTTATCACCACACGGCAAGCAAACACAATTGCAGCAGTATGTGAAATGCAGGGTGATTCTTACCCCACCAGGTAAGCCAGGATGGAGAGCTGCACCACTCGATAGAGAATCCCCACCTTCTTGTTCTTCGCAATGACGTATTTCTCTGTTTTATAATCAAAAAGTGATAGAAATAAACCCTTCCAAGCCACCTGCCCCATGCTCCCGGCTCGCTCCGTGCTGGTGGCTGGAGCAGGCAGCAGCGTTTGCAGCTCGCGTTATCCACACGTGCTCTGCATAGAAACCTGACACACCAACCCCTTCAGAGGAGAGGCTGATCTCCTCCCTTCCGTCAGCTGCTTGCCAGCAGCAGCTCTTGGGTCAGAAACCAGCAGCTGCACTAACGCGAGGTCCTTCCTTAGCTGCTTCCCAGCTACTTCATCCTCTGGGGAAGCCCCCGCCTCAGTTTTGCCCCCAAGCTTCATTCTCTCCCCCACAGTCACGGAATGTTTATAATGAAACGTGTTATAGCGCAAAGAGGTTACAGCATCCAAGGTGACAGAGCTATCGTCTCTCACTGTTACGTACCAAAGCCTTTCTTCAGCCTTTACATGACGGCAAAGCACCTGGTTCAATTTTTAATTTCGTGAGCATTTGCATGAGCAACGAGAGCTTGGGTCCTTACCAGTTATCCCATATACCTGCCCGGTTACTACATCTTCCCCCATCAAAAAACCCCAAGAACTTAAGAAACTAATAAATCAATTCTGCGTGTTGTTAAGGGATCAAACACCTTCACATCTCACTAAAACGCACAGTGAGTGCTGGGCTAGGCACATCCAGAGCGTACCATCTGATGAAATACCAAAGGGAGAGGAATAGTTTAACTCTCACTGAGACAAGAGCTGTTTAATAGCCAGTAGTGCACAAGATGACTCCCAGTCTTAACAGTCACTTGCATGTGCAAGGACACGAAATTATCATTACTTAAATCAAGAAGGGTGGATGCTGTCTCCTGGCTAAGGAGGGAACAGAACGAGCTTCGAGGTGGAAAATTAAGTAAGCCAGGACCTTCCAGCAGCCTGGCTAAAAGAGGTAACGTACCTCACCAAGAGGAGATCCAGCAGCAAGCTAGGATCTGAACTGGAGTGTGGCCTTTCCGGGGGGATCCCGTACCTGTGCACTGACAGGAGATGTCTCCCAGGGGGTCTTCTGGGATGGGACTCCTCATAGGCTGAATCTATTAGAGAGTCTATCAGAGACACGAGGTGGTGCATCAAGCATAAACTGCAGGGTTTACTGTGTTCATGCACGAGCACCCAATTAGCTCACGGGGCTTTGTCAAGACTGGGAAGGCTCTTGAGAGTACACAGTACGCGACTGTGATACACGCTCGAACACAGGTCAGGAGAGTGGGTCACACTATGGAGGCAGCAGGCAGTGAGAGAGGTGATCTGCTCCAGCCCACACACCGCTGCCCTACGCAACTCTCTTCCCAGGGAGAAGAATTTTCCAGACCTCAGGCTTTATGAAAATTTTATCCTTCCTCCTCCTTAAATTCCATATCAAATTTAAACAGACAGATCAGATTTTTAATGAACATGTGACAAGGTTGCTCCAAATCGCAAGAGAATCACAAACAGTGTAATAATGAACAAAACACTATCCTCAAAATACCTCATTTTGTCCCTCATCCCACAGCCATCCCTAGAGTTTCCTTCTGCAAAGCGAAGGAAACCTCTCTCCAGCAGCTGCAAAACTAGAACAGAAATGTGCCCGTGGCCTCCTTTTAACCCGGCGGCTGCTGCGCTCCCCAGCTCCAGCCCCACGGCAGGCGATTGCTCCAGCACGCGGCTCTTCCATGAGGGGCTCCTGGGATGGCAGGCAGGCTGCTGACGGAGCGAGCCCCCCGCTCCCATCCACCCCCCGGTTGCTCCTCTGGCTCGGGGTTAGCCCCAGTCCTGCTCCCAAACTTTGCAGCCGCCCTTCAGCCTCAGCACAAGCAAAGAGCGGGTCTTGCTCACCTCTCCCACTCTCCATGTCCACTCCTTTCCCTATCTGCGCACCCCACAGAGGCAACCCCACTTTATCTCACAAAACATGTTGCCGCTCCCCAAGCTCCTCCTGGAGCCCTCTTTCTCACTCTGATCCTACTCATGGTTTTCCTCTTCCTCAAACGATATTTGGCCATTGTGTCCACACCTCTGCTTACAGCTGCCTGCAGACCAGATTGTCACTAGTTCCAGTCTTAAAGATGCTCTGTGGGAAAGCCTGAAACACAAATAAAAACTCTTAAAACGTATCATAACCAAAAGAAACAAAACCCTCAAAGAGACCACAGTGGTCCATGAGGCCAGACATGAGTAAGATAGGCTCAGCCTATCTCCCCTCGCCACTGCCTGGACCCCAGAGCCAAGCTGGGGCTGGGCACAGGGAGACTGACCCAGCTCCAGGAACCCGAACTGTATGGAGACAGGAGCATCCTACAGGATCCACCACCCCATTTTCTGCCCAGTCTGCTCCTAGATGGGACACTTTGCAAGCGCAAGCTGCTGGGTGACAGCCAAGCGTCGTTTCTTATCATGGGTCTGGTCCCACAAGAACACCATCTGCTTGCCCTGGCCCTGCTGGACCTGCTCCAGGGATAGGACTGAACAGCGAGTTTATCTCATGTCTCAGGACCGCCTGCATCAGTGCTCCTGCTGCACTAAGAACACCCAAATTCACGGACAAACAAAGTACCAGTGGAGACAAGTCAGCCCTTGGTGGTGTCTAGAGACCCGCCCTGCTCCATCCCCATCTTCCTTCTCTCTCTGGGTGACTGCACAGGCTAAAATCAGAGCAGGAAACTTGCTAGCAGTTAAATAGCGTGTTGCCTCCTGGCCTGGTTTTACTTAGTGGCACAGACATAGGCCTGCTATGAGTTTTTGCAATTATTTTCCAGGTCAATTAATGGCAAAAAGGATTTACACAGGTTAGAAAAAAAGGTTCTTTAAGAGAGAGAAGTGTTTCTGTTATAGGTGTGACCTGAAGATGTGAACCAGGTTCGATCACTAAAAAAGAGGATGTAAAACTGGTACTTTTCTGGGTTTTCAGAGCCATCAATTAGAAACACAGCTGTAACAGTTGTTTTTGAACAAAAAGCTTCAATTTGTATCAAATGTTCCTCAAAATATTCTGAATACTGCTCAGCACAGGCTAGATTTGTGCTGACAACAGTGTCGTTGGCACGCTCTTGCAGATACTGTTCTTACCACCTCTAGTTTTCACAACTTTTTTTTTTTCTTGCCTGGAAGTCAAGATTACTGGTATTCTTTTCAGAGTATCTGTGGGTTGTTCAGATATAAGCAGTTTCATTCCCAGGGAGGAGTAAATTATTTAACAAAATCTAATCACCATCAGCTAAGAGACAAAACCCCAGTAGTTTCTCTTAGTCCTTCTCAAGGGACTGAGGCTGGATCTCTTCTGCAAGGTATCTCCCTTCTTGAGTCCAACTTTTTGAATTTCCCATGGCAAAAACCCAGTTCTGCTCCTTTCCCATGAGGGCTATTTGCTCCGTCTGGAAAGTCTCACAGGGGGGGACTTCTCTGGGATGGAAACTCCCCCTTTCTCTCTCTCTTTTTTTATTCCTGACATGTTACACCTATACGTAACTCCTCATACTGCTCTCGGTAATTGCTTTCTCATTATTCACACGTAGTCATAGAGTACATGTCCCTGTCTGCCCAGACTGCTCCTCGTCTACATTTCTCTCCACCTGCCAGTAGCTCATTGGTGTTAAGCTGCCCCAGAGCTGAACTCAGCCCACTTACGAGCCCGTAAATGCCACGTAAAGGGACTGTGGAAATTGAACTTCAGAGCCCTGCTCTGACACAGCAGCATTTGAACACAGCGAGGTCACATCTGTCTCTCTATGGCATTGTAGCATAGAAACATTTCAAGTTCGGCCCAGTTAGCATCTTTAAATCGCACCCGAAAGAGACGGCATGTTTTCCAGGCAATGGCAGACAGCCCTGGCCGGTGCAGGCATGATTCACGAGTGACTGCTGGAGGTGCCCATTTTAGGCACTTGTCCTGTTCCCTTCCAGTTCCAAACAATCACCCCCAGGCACTAATTCTCTCCATGATCCCCACTCCGCCCTTTACTGAGCTATCAAATGCAACAGAAAACATTGGCTCCCAAACACATGATGCCTGACTCATAAGATGCTGAGACATTTCTGAAGCACTGGAAATGCTCCTGCAGCAAATGCCCGGGTGATGCAGACACCTCATCCTTCAGAAACAGGCACTGGACCAGCTACTGAAATAGAAAGGACGCAAACAGCAGCGGATGTAAATAGGAGATAAACTATTTTGGCAAGGAAATGAACGGTGGAAAAGGCAGAGGTCAGCTCTCTCCATTAGTGTTTTTTTCCTCATAGTATCACACTTGTAGGCCCACATGTAAAAAAGAAAAACAAGGGGAAGAGTTGAACAGGTTGAAAGAGGAAGTTGCTTTTAAACCACATCTCATGCACACGGAAACACGTTGATTATCAGCAACAGCAAGCATAAGCTGCTTTCTGAACATGATGGGTTTGGATGCAAGAACAAAGAAATGTGTGTGCAGCCTGCAGTGAAAAATGCTCCATTCGCCTTCTCTTTTAATCTTCGCTGTGACTTTGCTGTGTAAATAAGTAGGTTGCTACTTGCCTATGAAAAATTGACAAAAATCAGCCTTAATATTCGTCCTCCTTACTAGCACCACTGCACACTCAACCACAATGAGAAAGGAAATCTTTCAGCATGCTGAAGTTCTGAAATATAATCTCTCTTTGATTCAGCTCATCATTTCCAGGAGAGCAATTTTTAGCCTTTGAATGCATTCCAGGTTGCTTCCCCAAGTCCTGAATCTCCTATATAGTGTGTAGGAGGTCTTGTTATCATTAGCTGGAGTGTTTATGCACTCCTCTCTCCTGACTCAAGAAGTTAAAGTGCTTGAGGAAGAGGACCAAAGAGAGGGAAGAAAAATACTGCACATCTAATGAAACTAATCCTTCATGCCCTGTTCTGTGAGAGAGCTGGCACTTAGTCAGGTAACAGAAATTAAATAAAAATGCACCTAAAACATCACTAGGAGAGTGAGTGCGATGGTAGCTGGAGCAGCAGCATTACGCAGTGCTGTATTGCAATGTTTTCACCTTCTACAGGCAGCCAATAAAAGCATCATTGGGGAATAAGAGGAGAATGTTAAATCAAAGGCCTGAAAGCTGAATGGGTT